AGGATTTGCAGGCACAGGGAGAACAGATAGCATCCAGGAAGGCCTGCCCGTATTCCCTGGAGCCTAGCACACTGCCTAGCTTCAAAGTAGCTACGTGGGAAATGTCAGAAAAAGAAATCCAGCAAAGGAGCCAGGACAGGGTGAATTCACTTCCCAGAAACTTGAGAAATCCACCTGCTTATCCCATGACAAAATGTGACGAGGATAGAATGTTGGGGGTGGGAGCTGACCCCCCTGTTGTCATTCACGTGCCTTTGTCAAACCCTCTCCACATCTCATATCTCATCCATCTGAGTTATTTCCTTTTTAAAACATCATCCTATCACTCATTCACAAACAATTTAGGGCCACCTACTATGTGCCAGCCCTGTTCTTCTCTGCTCGGCTTCAACCCTAAAAAAACCATCCCTGCCCTTGTGTATCTTAAACACTTAAATGCACGGTTACAAAGTCGTGCCAAGTACCATGAGGGATAAGGTGGGCCCAGGCTCTATGGGAGAGTGGTCAGGGAGGGCTGATCACTTTTACAGGGAAGTGACTTTTTTTTTTGAGGTGGAGTTTTACTCTTTTTGCCCAGGCTGGAATACAATGGCGTGATCTCAGCTCACTGCAACCTCCGCCTCCTGGGTTCAAGCGATTCTCCTGCCTCAGCCTCCCGAGTAGCTGGATTACAGTGCCGCCCACCACGCCAAGCTAATTTTTTGTTTTTTTTTAGTAGAGATGGGGTTTCACATGTTGGCAGGTGGTCTTGAAATTCCTGACCCTCAGTTCATCTGCCCACTCGGCCCTCGGCCTCCCAAAGTGCTGGGATTATAAGTGTGAGCCACCGCACCTGGTTGGGAAGTGACATTTAAGCCACGTCTGCAGATGCTAGGTGTTGGCAAGTTAAGAAAGAGGGAAAGGCAACCCAGGCAAAGGGAACAGCATGTGCAAAGTCTGGAGGTGGGAAAGCACTTGGGTTATCGTGGCTGTGGGAGCTGGGGTGGAGGGAGCTCAGGACAGTGGGATCAGAGTGAGGCAGGGAAGGTTGTGAGGGAAAGGAGCACACAGGACCTGGAACTATGCCAAAGATGTGCTGTTTTGTTCCAAAGGCATCACGGGACTATGCCGCGAACAACCTGACCCACAAGAGAGAACCATAAAAGTAACATCCAACAGCCAGTTTGTGTACATGGGTTAGTGTGGGACATGTAATTCCAATGATGGCTGCCAGCATCCATAGACCAGCGAGCCACTTGTGAGAAGCCCATTACACTCAGCCGTGATTACCAGAAGGAACTTCAGTGGAAAGAATCCTGAAGTCCTGCCAATCCACATTCCCATGAGTCTGACTGCTCAAACAGCCAGGCATGTCTGTGCTGCCAGCAGGAAGCCCACATCATTCATTGTCCAGATGCGACCAAGCAGAAAAATTAATAGACTACTGTTTATTTTCCATTTAAGCTCTGGCTGGTCTTCACACT